TACTACGTTTTTAGTAGTGCAGGCTATCAATAATCAGTAATGTAAATCTTGCTAAGGAGCATAGTAAATTTCGCTAGAAATACAGGTTGTCATTCTAAACACTTGTTTGTCGATAAAAAGGCTTCTAAATGTGACTTGTAAATTTTCTGATTGTCTTTTATCGGTAAAAAAGTGTTCAGATTAAGAGCAAATTTCACTAGAAACATAGCAAATTTTTTAATAGCGCATTTCACTTTTCAAGATGTAAATAATAAATATGAAAGAATAGTCAGTTATTGCAAAATGTCGATCTATTTCTCAATCACAAAATTCCGTAATAATTTTTACTTAAAAATCCTTTCCGTGTATATGAATAAACATATGGAGAAACAACTTAGTACATTAGTAACCGAATTTTCTGCTACTTTGGGACGAAACTCGGCTGTGGGAACAGAAAGATTCCTGCGGGAGGTTCTGCTTAGCCAATCGACTTTTTTCATCTCAATCGAATTTTTTAAATACAACTGTATGTTCAGACGACGAATATTTCCGATCACAGTAACAAAGATATTATTTCTCATCCACGGATTTTTCGTTAAATTTTCATTCAATTACCTGAAATGAAATTCTTTTTCCACGTGCGAATAAACACACGGAAAAAACAATTCTGTTAGTGTAATTAAATTTTCTGTCACCTGGGGACCAAATGCAAAACTCAGTTGTAGGAACAAAAAGATTCATATAGGAGGTTTCTATGCAGCGAATTATTCTCAGTTATCCAACCGAGTTTTACTTTTTTTTTTTTTGGTATAACTGAATGTTTAAACGACGAATGTTTTCGATCACGGAAATATTATTTCTCGTCTGGTCCCCGTTGCACGAACTAAGACTGTTTTTCCATGCAGTTTGGAGATGTTGCAATTTATGCAAATATATTTTCCAAGAATTAAAATAGATATCGAAAAAGAGAGAGAAATATTTGTGCACTTCAAATCATCAACTAAGATGGTTCGAAGTGCACGCGATGTAAGCGTTTGAAGATGCGATCGTTTTCGGGCAGTGTAGCTGAGCGACTTCACTTCTTCGCTACATGCTTAACCCCGTTGACGTAACCACCCCGTCGTTCTAACCGTCTCGCCCTTTGCACGAAACGCGCGCAATTTTGGAGGCGCGCAAATACGCGCTCTCCGGTACATATTATATCCGCCGGTCGAGCGCGAACGAGGCATTTAACCGCGACGCGAAATTGGTGATTTACCGCTGCCTGGGCGCGATGAAACGCGGTAGGAAATGAACTCCACGCCGGAATCGATAACCGACCGTTCGGCAATCACGGTCGAGTCAGTAGGTGATCCGAAGACGAAGGGCGCGCGTAGTTGGTAATTATCGGACCGCGCTAACGCCCGCGTGAACGCACACGCGAATTGACCCGGCCGGAGCCAATTAGAAGTTTCGGCGGGCGACCCTTTCGTGGCCGCTGAATTGCTGTTGTAACGTGTTGCCGACACCGCGATGTGTTGTGATTAATCGTTAGCAGCTTACAGTCAATTAATGGTCCGTGCAACGTTCGTCGCTCCGCGCGCGATCGATTCCGGAGACGCCGCCAAACAATCGTCGCACTTGCTGTTTTATTAATGGTGACCGGCGAATTGCATTATTAAGCGGCGATCTTCATGTATCCGATACGGTGCTTGTATCGGGGATTGGTTTTAATTAATCTACAGTTGCATGAAGCGACTTTATCAAGCAACTTACCTTGGGAAATCGGGCTGGATTCTGATTAGATCCCAAGAAATTTTCTATGCGGCTGCGAGCGAAAATAGGAGCGGCCAGTTACGAATAAAAAGCGCCTATTAATGACACTTATATTTCACTTGCGACAAATATTAGCCATGAGGGCTTGGCTCTGTCGAGCGTAAATAAACGCGCCTTACCCGCGCGTTGCACCTCGTTTGAGGAACACGTCTTTCCCGTAGACGCTTGCTTTCGTCTGCAACACGTTGTTTCATCAATCGTATTCCGAATCGCAGCTGTGCGCGCCTCCCGCGTATACGAGCTCTGGCCGCCATAATCGGCACAGCCGCTATTAGTCAGTGAATGGCAAGGTTACGAGATTAATCATGGTTTATATAATACGACGTAACTAACGATCGCAATCGCGAACAGGAAAATGCCGAAGACACATTCGCAATATGCCGGCGCTCGTGGCCGATGTAAACAAAGAAAATTTAATTAAGTAGCCAACGTGCATTATTGCAGGCGAATTACCGTGACCACGGTAACTGCTCGCTTCCGACTTTGTGAACACGCAATTTCGTTGCTACAACGTGCGAGCACGCGGAAGTGCGCGCGCTCGTCGAGCGACTCGCCACCAAGAGCCATTGTATTTTCGCTCAGGCCGCGTATTTGCTTGCGCACGTTTCTGCGGCTCTCTTGTCATCTAATGGAAATTTCATTGACGCTCGTGAAGCCGGACACACAGTGAGACCCTTCATCGTTTTCAAGGGAACCTTCGCGCGCGAGAGAGTAACTCGCCTGAAATCATCGGGAAACACATGTGGGTCTGCACGAATTATTCCGTCAAAAACGCGTGAGTGTATTGAGAAAAATCTCAGCAACAAAAGCACGTTTGCTGTTTGATGATCGTCGGGGAAACAGATCGAACGAGTTACAAGTCGCTTCTCATCATTTGTCATTTTAACAAACACACATTTCCTGTGAGATACAGATCTCATTTGTTCTCGTAAATTTAGGTTAGGTTAGGTTGGAGCTGTGTCTCCATTACGGAAGTGTGGCTGGAGCGGCAAGTTGAAAGTAACAAATCATTTATTCCTACTACGGAGTTATGTACTATCCCGTATTAACAAATCATTTGTTGCGGGTGCTGGCACTTTGTTAAATTAACAAGACTTTTCCTTCCGGACAGTCATTTTCAGTTTTGGACTTCACGTTGGAGTGTGTAGTCCGGACTTGAAAAAGGCATCCCTGCTCCCGAGATATCTACCCCGGAAAATATGACACCGAGTTCGGTGAGCGCGTCATCGGTGCGAGCTGAACCGAAGATTCGATGTAATGAGCACCCGCGTGACAAATTTCCCGCGGGATTCTTCCTGGAGCTTTAATTAGATATATTTATGACGCAACGCGAGCCAGAAAAGGTATAACCCGACGCCTCTTGACTGGCATTACGAAAGGAGCCAGCACGTCGTTAGTGTAACGAGGACGATCTTGGTGTACGTTTTCATGCCTCCTACGACGGAGGAGATGGCTGATATCGCGCTTGATTTTCGCGGCTGTCATCGGCTATTGTGTATGTCGATTGTGCGATAAATGATCGGCGGTAATACAGTGGGCGCAGTTCATCCGAATCGACTTACTAATTGACTCGAATAAAAGCTGAGCAATTCCGGAAATTGTGCGCCGTATTGTTTCCAGGACATTGAAAAATGACACGCGCGCGCACACGTGTTTTACTAGGCTGCGCCAAAACTGAGCGCGCGTATTTCGGATATTTATTTTTATCAAAGCGTCATTCCACTTACGTCTCTCTCGGCTTCCAGCGCGGCTATTTCCGTCTGTCCAATTCACGTCTGCATGGTCGAAGACCTCGAGCGGTTGTTTTCAGTGAATCCCGTCAGAAGCTAAACACGATCTAGTCTTCGACTGGGATTTTCGTCCGCTTGCTGCTCAGGCAGAAGCGGGTCAATAATAAAAGTCTAAAAGCAATGGTAGAGTGCGGTACATAAGCGCATAATAGTGGCGAAACTGGGAAACTTAAAAAATACGAAATAATAGTCTGCAATAGAGAAAACCTCGAGCCGAGAACGCGCAACAGTTGCGGCCGGACCGAAAAAGAAGTCAGGCTGGAAGTTGAAAAAAATATATATAAATGCAATGACACGCTTCGTGGTAAGAATAAATATCCGCAGCACACGCATGGTTCGCTTTACCGACGATTCTAGTTGCTAGAATGCTAGTTTGGTATGCTATATTCTCCCCTTCTCGTTATTATACTAAATTGACAATATTTTCACGTGAAAATACACACAGGAATTACAGAAAATAGCATCTTTTCAAACAGAATTCCTTTTTTGGATATTACAATATTTTATTTTCGGTTTCAAAAGGATCCTCTTAAGACCATACACAAAAGGATTCCGCTATTGATGAGATTATGTCTCTCACAGTGTACAATCGCACACATGTGTGCACACTGGACTCTTTTTGTATGTATTGTACTATATGATCTGAAAGAGAGCTCGCTCTAGGACATTTAATATAGCTTTCCATTCACTCACTTTTGCGGAGACGAAGGAGATTCTCCTCGTCTCCTATCCGTGCAGGGAGGGAGCTAATCAATTTTGCCCGTTTCTGCTCAGCCGCGAGCCGCGGTGCATTTATAGACTACAGAAATTCATAAAGGTGTCCGGACGCGCGCGATCAATAATATATTACAATACACGTTCCATTCATCATGCATGAAGCGGCATTCTATCACGGCCGTGTTCCCCATTCTCTCGACGCGACGCGATCAGGAAGCACGGATACGTATTCGCGCGGCGACCTTTTCGCGATTGCGGTATCATTTGGAGAGTTGGTTTTATCGAACTTGAAACGGTCTCGCGAACAAAGAGTCATTAAATTCGCGCGGAGTTCCTCCTGTCTCTCTTTCTCTCTCTCTCTCTCTCTCTCTCTCTCTCTCTCTCTCTCTCTCTCTCTCTCTCTCTCTTTGACGTCACGTTCCGAGTGTACTGACGTAAAGATAATCGACGTTGCGCTCTTCTTCTCAGAGGGCAGCTGCTGCGAGACACCTTCCAGCCGGTGCAAGCCAACCGGCTGGAGGACGAGCTGAGGAAGGGAGGACAGACAGACAGAGAGAGAAAGAGAGAGAGAGAGGGGAGAGAGAGGAGAGAGAGAGAGAGAAGGAACTTGGCGCGAACGTTCGACTTCTCTTCAAGTCGCGACCGCTCCACAATCCACATTTAACGAGGTTTTCCAATGAGAACGTTTCTTCGTTGCAGCTTCGACGTGGAGAATGGCGCCTCGACTTTGGACGGCGGCGCCGGGGGTGGAGGCGGCGCCTCGCCGAGCGCTGGGCTCGTTCTCCAAACGCTACCCCAGCGAAGGGAGAGCTTCCTATACCGAAGTGACAGCGATTTCGAGATGTCGCCGAAGTCGATGTCTCGGAACAGCTCCATCGCCAGTGAAAGGTAAGCAGGACTCGGTTACACCTCTCCAGGAGATCGATATCTCCCTCGCGACGACGCTACGACCGGAGCGCTATAAATCGATTATCAGTAAATCGGGGCTTACGGCTGCGAGCGACACGCGCAAGATAGCGAAGATGGTACCTCTTCTGCCATATCCCCCTTTCTTTCCTCTTCTCTCTCACCCCCCTTTCCTCCCTTTCGCCGGGCGGAGGTTGCTTCGACGTGGAGAGGCCGGGAAAATTCGTAATACCTTTTTCTCAATGACGCGAGTGAGCGAGCGCGACGAGGATTTATCAGCTTTCACGCGTGATACCGAGTTAGTTCAGAGTCGAAAGTCGCGATTTATGACGACGCGTCCCGGTTATTTATTTATTATGAAGCACGTCGTCGCGCGCCTAATGACATTTATCATATCGCGCTTCGACGACGCGCTTATAAACGGGCGCATTAATCAAGCCGCGGTTCCCATCATTTATTTTCCCGCTATCTTTCGACGACTCGGCTCGCTCGGCGGAAAATTTTTACACCCGCGGGATACCTTACGTGTTTCTCGCCGCAGATCGATACCTGCGTAAGAATCGCTTTGAACCGCTCCGGCAAGAAGCATGTGCAAGAGCGGCTGTAAATTCCGAAATCTGACGCGCGCGTCACATCGATTGCGCGAATTTGCGCGGAACGTCAGAGCAACGTCCGCGTGGAAGTGTATCACCGGCATAATTCTGTACGAACAACGCACACGAACGCGTTTCCACTGTGTGTTTGTCCATTCATCCACCAATCACCGAGCGGATTGTACCGATCTGCGATTGCACCGGTCGTTTGCTTTAGCGCAGCAACGAGGTACCGTGTCGAGGACCGCCAGCCTTGTAGATTTGTTCTGTAACTTTTAGGCTCGGTTCTTCGCTCTTTGGTTAATATATGGTTTAAACTTTAGGGCTATGGTACATAGAAAACTAAAAAAATATAAAAATTGACCAATCACCATCGATAATTTTTTAACCGTAATGAGAATAATCGATCACGATTAGTTAATTTTCATACTACTATATGTTTTACTGCTTAAGTTTTCTATGTGTCCAACATAAATCATAGGTTAACCGGATAAAATGGTCGATCTAATTAAAATTATATTCTACTCCAAACATACTTTTTTTTGGTAAAATAATAATAGAGTAACTTTTATGTAAGATTATTATTACTAACATTATAGTAAAATTTAGTAAAAATAATGATTTTCTTCACAATAATTTATAGTAATTATTTGTTTATGTGTAATTATGGTTACAAATTACCAAAACATTCTGTTGTCAATGTACTTTGAAGTATACCAGATATTTTTATGAGGTTGTATTTCTGCAGTTCCACGCTGATTTATCACAAGATTTATTTATTAAACTGTAAAATTGCTCGCGTGCGCTAAATATATGTTAAGTATATAAGGCTGGCGATCCTTTTTCTTACCTTGTTGATGGCTTCAGTATCAAAACGACAATTGTAAGATACACATTCCACGGAATCTTCATGCATGGGTATATACACGACATTGCATCTCTTTTGCAATCTTATAATGCGTGCCCAAAAGTCTCGGTTATAAAGTCAAAAGTCACGATGTTCACACCGCTCCAATTACTCAATTACGTGTGACAAGGGAAGACACGCTGGTGATCGTTTGGTATACTCGTTTGCGGTTATCGTTCGGGATACTTCGCAGCACGAACATTTTCGCGGCAACGAAGAGAATGTGTATCGATAATGCAGGTATCTTCGGTGGACTATCTCAAAGGCTGAAGCTGAAGCCGATAAAGTGGAAAACTGGAGAGATCCACTGGTACCGCTCCGTGTTTGCGCGCTTACCGCGGCAAGATACCGCGAATGTCTTTCCAGGTAATGTCGAATCTCGCAACTCGAATGGTCAACGAGACTATGGTCAATATGCGTCGATCATCAAACGCGCGGCGCGTAATCTCGCGTTTCGAACTTGAACCTCGAGCTATATTCGCGGCTGAAACGGAGAGAATCGTCGACAAAGCTTTTATACTCTCGCAGTGACGTCGATTCGCTAACACGATCCCTTCGTTGCTGTCGCGACTGCGACTGATGCGTCTAACGATTGTTTCTTTTTTATTTTGCACGCGTTTCATAATTTTTATGAAACACACGATCCGAACACTATCGTTGTCATTTGTTCCTACAACTGTGCGCAAACAGTTCGTGGTTTTGTGTAGTTCTCGTAGCTCTCTCTGGGTAGCGGCGATGCTTACCATTGATTTTTCTCGTGTCACATTTCGGGTAGAAATTTAAAATAGGGATTAAAAAAGGCAGACAGTTTTTCCCTACTTCTACCAAAACCCTATAAAAACAAATCCATTTAGGTCCTGTAGAGATATAATACTCTTACAAATTAACATCTAAATTCATAAATCTGACTAGGATCTGATTGAAATGACAAATTGAAGCTCTATTCTGATATATCGATTTAAAGTATAGTTAAGTCTTCTTTCCTTAGCATGCTTATCACAATCTTTTTTACCTATCTTACAAAAACAATATGTACATATACATGTATATAACAATATGTATATATACAAAAATGATAAACAAGTAATCGTTTCTCCACAAAAATTATTTCAAGAATTGGCTAACTTATCCCTGACCAAGCCTTATTAGCACTAGCCTTGTTTGAGGCATCTGCATCAATTCATGAAATTCTATTCATAATTTGACTATTTCGATTATACCGAGACTCTGTGTCTATTTTGGAATATCCTTGACTAGAGTCACTGCATACTGAGAAGGCCCACCCCAATTAATTTCTACCCGGGACGTATCACTACTATGTCACGTGCATACCTCCAATTGTCCACGGCAAGATAATGCTTCCGTAACAATTATTTTGCGAAATTGATTAAGATCACGAATCATCCTGTCTTTCCTTTCTTGAACTCGGGAGACTCATGGCTGTGAATGTCGACCGATTTCGATGAATTGCGACTGCACAATTCGGTTGTCATGTTTTGTGTCGTAAGATAACAGCCCGGAAGCATCATCTGTCCGATGTTATTTGTCTTATCGTCGCCAGTGGGTGTTGGGATGTGACGATATGATGTATGTGATCCTTGGGTTACAGGTTCAAAGAGACAGAGCTTCCTGTCGAGCGAGCGTATGTACTCGATCCTATTACTTAACTCCTTTTGTCTTACTTCACACTTAGAACCTTCACACTAACAAGTCATTGAAGCAGCCCGTCGGTCCCTATGCATAACCGATTGGTCGCTGCGCGAAACTTCGTCGTGTCGATACTTCTCTCGCCGATACCCGCGCGCTCCACTTACCGAATAATGTTTTCCTATGTGCATGATCGTGTCGTTCATTATTTTTATGTGTGGAGTCCTCGTTATCACTTGGAGAGTGGTGTCATACTAAATTCTCACGGATGTAGTCTCACCTGAACTCAATCGATGTTAGTCTCACGTGCGCTCGCTCAGAAGCGCGATTGCGCCGTCGAAATCACGTTCATGCCGCAGTAGACGCGTGGGCGACACGTGTGTCGTCCCGGCTCTTTTTCTTTTTCTCTCTCCCCCTCTCTTCGTTGCAAATCCAGGCGTGTCATTTTTAAATGCACGCGAAAAAAAGTTTGGTTGAGTTAATCGAATTTATGGTGAAGTACGAACGAATTTCTATTGAAGTTACCAGAATTCTATTCAAGATAATAAGATTTCTGATCAATTTTAACAAAATTCTGATAATTTGAACTTGAATTTTCTGATAATTTCTAAAGCTCTTTTTGCTCGTTTCTTGCGGTTTTAAATCACGTCATTTAACACATTCAAGACGTGCAAATTATAATTTAATCTAATACGTTTAAACACGCGTTAAATGACATGATGGCAAAAAACGTAAAAGTAAATTTAGCTAAAATAACAGATTTGGATTTGCAGCGTTTTCTCGGGCGGCGAATTTCGTGTGGTTCTCTCGAGCCACCGCGAGATTCAACTTATCACGCGATTGCAAATTAAATTAGAGAAACGATTGAATCACGACGGTGCAATCCGTGCTTGTGAGCATCACAGACATCTATAATATACTAGACCGTGAACCTTGACTTCCTAGACGTCCTGATATATCTGTATATATAAAATAGAAAATGTCTGTCTATATATTTTCTGTACATTTTCCCATACATTTCTAAATTCTTTGATCGATCTAGACCAAATTTTGTATAGTTACTCTATAGAACTGTGAAAAATATAGGCTACTATGGAATCATCCTATCCCTTATCCTTGATTTCACCACCTTGACACTTTATCTAGGCAATGCCGGTCTAGTTTGAGTCTACATAATGTACAACTCGTATACGCCCATATTGTTTCCTATGTGTGTACACGTAGTCAACACACATATACACACACATTTCGTTATAGTAAACTATAAGTGGAAAATTTTTATATTGGTAATTGAAATATTGGTAAAGTAACTGTATTCCAATCGCGCGCGGTTACTAAGTCCGTCGCTAATATGTTACTTAAGCACATAGCTTTCGGGTACAATGAATCTAGGGAGTATATAATGAGGTTCACAGTCTAGTATATTATATGTCATGAGTATCACTATTATTCCTCGGGATATGATCTTTTTAATGTTTTGGTATTACGTCACCCTTTCTCGCACTTCTTTGGTTATTTGTGCTCATTAATGGCTATGGAAGAGCGGTCGGACAAGCTCCGTCGCGAGATCGCATCGATCTCACGTACACACGCACAAACACACACGTACACAGCTTTAGCATAAGATTACGCAAAAATCTCGCGCTTTCGCAAATTGCGATATCGCTTATGGTCTACTCCGTAACGTAGCTATATTGCTGATTAGAGCGTAGATTTGAATGATAGAAATGCGCGAATTTTTCGAGTCGAGCGTATCGTTTTCCGCGAGCCAAAGGTGATCGCCAAAGAAAATTGTTCGCATTTTCGCAGAATTGTAAAAGTATTTTCTTGCTTGCCGCCCCTTTTGTCCGGGATATGAAATTTCGATCGCTTTGCGATACTACATTTTACACTTGCGTCTCATCATTGCTTAGCAAAGTGTTCTTTTTTTTCCTTTTTACTTTACGATCAAGAATACGCGACGATACAACAGCGTCACGCGAGCGTGATTACAATTAGCCCTCGTATTGCGAGTTTTACACTTTAATATAATTAACCGCATGCTGAACATAGTTGAACGTCGTCGAATAAATACGAATTCTTATTTTCAGGATATTTACCGATCAGTACAGGTAAGTTGCATCATCACCTAATTTAAATGTGCTCGCCTGTGACATCGTTACAAGCTGTTTGCGATTGAATGAATGTGTCGAATGAGTGATGTGTGATGTGATTAACGTTACAAATTAACCGTCAGAGCAATTCTCACACGTTTCAGTCAACAGTCAACGTTACATTCGAATCCCGAGTCGATACACTGAGAGAAGAATATTTGAAAATTTATTTGAGAGATATAAAGTTTATTTCTGTGAAATAAACTTTATTTTCACACAGAAATAAATTTTACAATGCAGAAATACATCTTCAAGTATTTTTTTCTTAATGTAATGTTATATCTCGAGACTTTCCATTGATCCTTTAAATTCCACAATGTTTGCAGGATTAATGTAAAACCGAAATTTCGACTCGGGATGAAAAAATGCACGATCTGAGACATTAATCGCAAAGGCTTCTCGCACAACGCACAATAGAGTCAAATGAAATTTTATTTGAAATTTCAACTGATTTCGATGTCTCTTTCTTTTTTTCTTAAATGAAATCTAATGAAATTTGGAACAATTTCATGGAGTCAGATTTTTGTTTTCTGTTTCTTTTCTACTTCTAAATCGGGTACAAAAAAGCTAAATTTAGAATTTTTTTTCATTCAAACAGTAACTCAAATCTAATTTGATATCAGATACACAGTTATTGATGTTGAAATGAAATATTAAAATCTTGATTATAAATTTGAAAAAAGTCAATGACATTGTATCACTGAATCTTAACTTAACAAACACGATTGATTGAAATGGTATCTAATTTTAGTAAATAAAAACTAATTTAGTAAAAAAACTTAATTAAGTAAAACTAAATTAATATTACGTTATTATTTTTTTTTTAATTATTATTCTTGAAGTAACAAGTCTCTTGAGCTTCCGTATTTATCGGAGTTGCGTGATTGAAAAAAAATTTTTAAATATAATTTCTTCATGTCTAATTTAGAAGAAGAAAAGCAAAAGACAAAAGTTTCGATAAAGTTGTTCTAAATTTTATTAGTTTTCATTAAAAAGAAAGCATCAGTTAAAATTGTAGTATTTTTTGTAACATGAAATTTCATTTGGCCTCACTGCGCGATTCCGCAATAGTAATGCGCGAGTAAATCGCGAGAATGTGGTGGAAGGGGAAATTATTCGTGGTTGTTGTTAAATCACTGCTGTTAAATTAATAGTAACAATCACAGGACTGTCCTGCGATACAGCGAGACGCGTCTGTGAGTGAATTGTGCTCGTTGCGATTTTCGCGCTGTCTGTGGAACGCTGTCTATTATTACGCGAGGCGTATTATGATGACACTCGGGTCTCATTTTACGATAGACCGAGTGCAACGTGAGTGCACACGAGTGGAAGTGCAGATTGTGCAAATATTTTTATCTGGAGTGGCATTAACGCGCAGATTGATAGGTATGGATGCTTTTCGTGCGCAGGGACGTCCATCTGTCGTGACGCGAACGTCCCTCGACTTCCGGAAACACTCGAACTTTTACATCACGATATATAAAGTATCCCGGTACGCAAATCAAACGTGTGATCAACTGTCGAGTGATTCAATTTCCACGCGTCGTGATACGCAAAATCGTGTCTCAATGAATAAGCGCGGGGCGAATTGTGAAGGTGAAACCCGGTATTTTCTCTCCCCCTCTCTTTCACTTCTTTAACGTTTCGAGAACGTATATACGCATATGACGGGAATTTCCTCAGCTTAACGTAATAACAATTATCTCAATTTACTCTCAATATAAGCAACAATTATCAGTTCAACTTTTTAAATAATTTGTTTCTATTTAAAACAATGATAAACAGTCAAAACTCTAGATTGGTATCTTTGTTCATTTCTTTGAGGAAAAATTTCTTTAAGGCAAAAGCTCCTCTGAAATAATTATGAGAAAGTAGACGAAGTAATTCATGATTTCATTATCTCGCGATTGTCGCGAATGGAAAGTCGGTCGAGGCGAATATTGTGTGTAGTAGGACACGATATTAAATTTTCCGTCGATTATTTCCGGCATCATGACTCGATCGATATTGAACGATGCGTCTCGCGGGCACGCGCCAGTACGCGAAAGCACACACCCACAAATAGAGATCGCTTGTGCAGTCGGCCTGGAAACACCTGGGGGGTATCTTGAACGTACAAAGACACGCCGTTAATATAGCACTCGTGAGGTTTACACCACGTGCGCAATGTGTAAACCGCGTTTCCGGCCGTCTAACGATCGCCCCGTCATTCATGTCGTTTGACGTTGCACGCTCGCCTGCTCGGTAAAGTAGAATCGCGGCCGACCGATTTAATTATACGACGTAAATCGTTCGAAAGGCTGCCAATAACGCGCGCTCAAGAGAGAAAGAGAAAGAAAGCGATACATCAAAGTCACGTGTATGTCTGGAGGATGTCCAACGTAAACTTCTCAAATTGAATGAAAATAGCTGAATGGCTCGTGCAAACGGCGGATTCGACCTTTAAACCGTGCACCACGGTTTTATCCGGTGGCGACGGGAATGCTGCGGAGCAGATCGCGAATTCCGCGCGGATTTTGCTTGACTATATTCGCCGAAGGTGACGCTAAGCGTGCGTGCATGCATGCACGCACGTACGCGAGAAAGAAAGAGAGAGAAAATTCCTCCGCTCGCGCAAGTGAGAGAAAAGCTCAGCCGGCTGCGTCGCCATAGATATACACGCACTCGCTGACCTATGATCCATCCGACGATGTCAACTAGCCGGGCTGAATGTGCTTAATTATTGCGTTCTCCTACTACTTCATACGACACCGGCGGGAGAATTTAACGGAATTGTTTACTCGCGCCGCGCATGATACGCCGCGAGCCGTGCCGAATGCAGTTCTTCCGCGGCGTATTTTCCTCGCCGTCGATGGCGAAACACAGCCGGAGGATTGCGTCCCCGCAAGCGTCACTTAACAGACCCAAGTGTCGAATAGATACTTCTCTGTTTCTCTTGTTGTGACATTTTCGCCGTTTACCTTCGCACTTTGCTCGGCCGGTAAAAATCATGAATTTTTCCAATACTTGACGTATCACACCGGTAGAAATAATTATTTCCTTGAATAAAATTCGTAAAAACATTCTGTTTCTCTCGATTATCCGAAAAAGTATCTCCGCTTATACTGAAAAACAGGATTTGTTTGACGAAACCAAAATTTGGTTAAAATGGGATCAACCAAATGTTTGGCAATTACAATAAATTTAATTACTATTTTACCTTGCTTTCTCAGTAATGTATTTACTTAATTACTAAACAAAGCAAAAAAATTAAATTTTTTGATTGCTATTACTAAACATTTCGTTGATTTCATTTTAACCAAATTTTGGTTTCGACGACTAAATCCTTTTTTCAGTGTAACGACTCCACCCATAACTGTCCGTTCGATAAATTGTTTTGAACTGTGTATTACATCGAGATGAATACTTCCGAGAGTTTAGATACATGAATATAAATTATTTTCAACCTATTTTTTTCATTTTTCTCTCTCTATTGTGAGATACTATTCGGTTCGTTCACGTATAATGCAATCGTAGAAGTGAAAACAACCATGCTGTGACCAGACAACTGTTTTTGAGGGTTTTTAGTTACGCAATCCGTCGCCCCGACAGCTTCGTGGGAACACGACCGCGTGTGCATGTAAAAAAAAAAATTGCGTACTGGCCGCGTGCATATATGTATATGGCCGCGCTGATTGCAAATTTCATCCGAAAAATCAATATTGACCGGCGAATAGCTAACGCAAAAATGTTAGACAACGTTAATATTGTGACGATGTTTTGAGCAACACGATCGGCCGAGTGTGCATTTTTGCAAACGTTCGCGTAATATGACGAGCTGATCGCGCAAAGGAGCGGACGCAAGGACACTTTTGCGAACTGGTATCACAGCGAGCTAATCAGCCACGTGTGTCGGTTGAATTTCGAGACGTAACGTTTTACAGCCAACCATCACAATCCGCTCCAACGTGAGAGGTACATGTATTCTTACTTGTAAAAAAATATGTGAAACGTTAATAACTATTACGAATTCCATCCACGTGTAGTGAAAGTTTTCTGTTTTCAAATTGATTCCGAGAACACGCTCTCTTAGGGAGAGTTCACACCTCGGCAGAGAAGCAGAAGCCAATCGGAACTTGTGCTAATCGAAAAGCGAAACTGTCGATCACCAGACGTGCGAGTTTTGATTGGCTTTTGCCTTTGTGTTCCTGTTTGTTGTCTTTCTGTTTTCTCGCTAAAATATGTGAATTCTCCCTTCGTATGTACAATTCGCGACGGACATCCTGTATATCGGGGAAGGGAGGAACTATTGCATTATAATATTCGTGCGAGAATTTACACGGCAACTAACATGTTTGCAATTCAATAATCCCAAATATTTTGATAGTTTGGAGAAACAATTTTTCACTTTGCTATTCATTGCGCTGTAAAAATGCATAGGTTTTGTATTTAATTAATTAATTCAAATTCTCATCTATTACTAACGAAAAACAATGCGCTTTCGTGAAGAACAGCACAGAGAAGCAGATTCTACGACAAAAGAGTCACGGTACAACTTACAGCTCTGACGACGGTTCAAAGTCGCCCGCGACTTTGCTCCCGCTTATCTCCCGCGTTTTCGCGACGCGGAAAAACTGGTTCGTCCTTTAATTGGCCGCGAAGAGAATCGAGCGCATTCGCAAGTGGATCATGGCGATTTCGAGATCATCAACAACGCGCCTCTTAGCGCGTGCCGGGAGAAACTTGCCGCGGTAGTTATTCACGCAACGCGTCCGCGAGCTTGTTTTGCGAGTAAAGAAAAACGAGCTCGTCTCGCGGTGACTTGCACGTATACTTCGACACACATATGCATATCACGCGCATATACCGCTCCGTCCGTTCCATCTCTCTCGTGAATTGCGTAAAGCAACAAAAACGTATTTTCCTCGCAATGAGATGCGATGAGTCTCGTTAATTCAAATTTCCGTTACCGTATCCGG